GGGAGCGAGGCCAAGTCCGGCCGGCGGCGCGCTCTCTCTAGCCGGTGCGTCCGCCGGCCTCACAGCCGCCCGCGCCTCTGTTCCGCGCGCTCCGAACTGCAGGTGAAGCCGCGCGGCTGCCCCGCCGAGGCCCCGCCCCGCGGCCCAGCCCCTGCGCTCGCCCGGCCTGACGCGGGCCTTAAAGGCGCCGCGCCCGCAGCCCCCCAACCCCAGCGTCGGCCCTGCCGGCCCGCTGCCGCGCACCCCTGCCCGCCCCTGGCCCAAGGGGCGTCTAGTGCCCGGTTCTGGGCCAAACGGCCAAGGACACTGACTCATTCTGGACGGAAAGGCAGTGGGCGTGGAGGCTGCAGAAGGCACTTAGGTTCACGCCCCCCAACCCAAGCACCCCCTTCTGGATGGGAAGCCCCGCGGTCTTAGCACAACTTCCTGCCTGGGCCCACGGTAGGAGGGGTACCTCAGCTGTATTCCTTATATTCAAGTGTCTTCTTACCCTTGACGCAGGCCTACCTCCTGGACTTAAGCCGGGGCCAGGCAGCTCAGGCGTGATGGTCACTACCTCGAGAGAGGCACATATGAGAAAAACAGGACCAAGGCCCAGGGTTCAGCTGCTGGGCTTTGCCGACCCCCCTGCTCACTGGGAGGCTGGAGTCTGGGCCCTGTCTCAAAGGTGCCCTGAGGACTGGCTACAGTACTGATTCCGGTTTGCAGTCAAAGAAAGCGGAGATTCTAGAACAGGATGGAAGTCCCAGGCTGTTGGGCTGCCCTGCATGGACGGCGGGAGGCGGGCTCCGTGTGCTCCCGGCAGTACTTTCTGCACTGGGGGACGCCCCTTTATAGGACTATTAAGTAAAAAATACGTACTGTTGGAAGGTGAGTAAATGTTTCTGCATCTTTCTTTTGGGCTTGAGGATTTGAAGAAAATTGGTTTTGTTGGCTCAGATATTTCAAAATTTCTTTGTCTTGGTTTGGAGGAGTTCTGTGTCCAGAATACATTAGTTTTGCTTTAAGAAATACCCTGGAAAGGCAGAGGAAGAAGGCTGAGTGACACCGCAGGGCTTCAGGATCAGCGTCAACTGGGGTAGCGCCTCCTGCCGCCCTCCTAGGGCCTCACGCCGGGGAGCAGGCGGTCTGCTGGTCAGCACTCTGCCCTGACTTAAGGAAATCAGATTTTTGATAACAGGAGGTGAGTGGGTTAGGCTCTGTCCCAAACGAGGCTAGATTAGGTTTGTCCACGTGCAGGTTGAGGACTACGAAATGGGATGTGAAGTCTCTGTGCCAACCTGCCTCTCCTTACCCGAGTCTTGTGCCCTTCCCAGCCTGGTGGGTGAGGAGGGTACCCCTGTCCTCGCTGAGTGTCCTGGTTTAACTGTTTGCACTGGGCCTGAGGTCCTCCCTGGGCAGTGAGGTGTCGGTGAGCAAACCCACCCCAGTCTACTCCTTAGCCAGGTGCCCATACCTTTGAAAGGGGTCTATTCTGCTTCTCTCCTTATTTAGGGTGTGTCATCACTGCCCAGGTGACATCAGGAGCTGACCAAGACTGCTTTCCAGTCTTGTGTCTCTTGTCTTGAAATGTCCAGTTCGGGCCGTACCTTTGTCTGCAAAAGCCCTGAGCATTATGCAAATGGTTTCTTGGGAGAGGTGACACACAGCCCAGCCTTTGCTCTCTGTGCTCTGGGAAAGTACTCAAGTGCTGACCAGTGTGCCAATTTGAAAAGAAAAGGGCTCGGTGGGGGGAGGGGGGGGACAGGACAGTTGAATGCTGAGCTCCAAACACTGGGTTAAACACATCTCCTTCTGCTCTTGAGTGTCTGAGTTCCGACTCCACTGAGACACGTGTGACTTCTAGACAGGGTATATCCTGATGATAACCAGCCCTACAAGGCGCTAACTGTGTGCTGCACATAGGTGAGAGAGTTCTGTGTCTATCTACTCTTGGACCTCCCCCTCCAGCTACATACATCAGGAGGGCCTGTTACTGCCCCATGTGCAGCAAGGCAGAGGAAGGTGGAAGCTGTGTGCATGGTCACCCCAGCCTGGGGCCTGGTGTGGGTGGCAGTGCCCACACTTGTTTGTTCAAGGAAACCTTGCTATGCAGTACCCAGTGTCTCCTGGGAGCTCGCGTGTTCGGAAATACGGTTTCGGAAGCACTGCAGTAGCCGATGCCAGTCCAGCAGGGAGCATTGGTTTATCAGACTTCCTCGGAACGGAGCAGTGAGGATACGGGGAGGGAAGGGAAAACATGATCTGAAATGCCAGGCTGTGCTTTCGAAGCATGGTCCCCAGACCGGCAGCATCAGCAACCCGCAGGGCCTTATTAACCGCCATGGGCCTAGCCCACTGTCAGCACTTCCCAGGTGACACACGGTGGCTGGGAGCATCATAGAAATGCTCCTCTTTGGGCCTCACCCTGGCTCTGCAGCCTCTGAGCCTGCAAGAGCACAGCCTGGGACTCCACCTGAGGATGCCAGAGGGGCATGGTGCAGCCGCTGGGGGGCTCACCTGCCCGTGCTGTGCCCTGCCCCGTGTGGGGAGCACGGCAGTGGGCCTGGCAGAGGAGCCATTATCTGTGCACAGTGGATAAAGAGCCCTAGAGAAAAGTGTGCTTTTGTTTCTGAGAGAGATTAAGGAAATGCATTTGGGAGGGTAGTGTGTGAATGACGATTTCCTCTCAACACCTGGAAACTGTTGACTGTAATTGGGCTGCAGATGTTTGCTAAGCTCCGTGGGCCTCTCCTCTCTGCCTTCCACTTGTGGAGGTGAGTCTGGGAAGGGGCACGTCTTCAGGAGCAAATAAAATGCTTGCAGCAGGCCTTCATCTCCCTGTCTTCTTGTCAGATGTTAATTTGTTTCCCCCACTATTTATCATAATTTTTTTAAAGACACTTCAATGTTAGATAAAAAAGCTGTTTTGTAAAGAAAGCAGGGGAGATGTTAGCAAAAGATTTGTTCATAGAATAAAACAATATCTTTGTGGGCGATTGAAGATATTTGTGGCTCTGCAGGAAGGAGTGAAATCAGCCTGATACCCAGCTCGAGAAAACCTCCTGCATAGAGCAGAGAAGAGCGAAGTTAAAGGAAAAAGGCAGAGAGGCAAGCTGAGAGGGAGGGAGTGAGAGAGAGAGAGAGACAGAAGCTGAGAGAGAGAGAGAGAGAGAGAGAGAGAGAGACAGAAGCTGAGAGAGAGAGAGAGAGAGAGAGGGCACAGGTAGCTCTCTGGCTTCAGAGCCTTGTTTCATCAGGAGCAGAGAGTGCCTGTTAGTATTATTGTTTTCATTTTGACCAACCTCGTCTTTCTCCTTCAACTTGGCTGATATTTACTGTGTCCAGGTCCTCCAGAGTTGGAGGTTCCGATTCATTTTTTTCTGCTGTCCTCACACTGGAAGGACCTTCCACAGATGGAAGACAGACACCTGTTCCTGGATGCGGCTGAGACTCAACGGGAGGCTTCTTGCCTTAGAACCGAAGAGGGCGGGAGGGCAAGGCTCCCCCTTGGTGCAGAGATCCCCAGGGAGAGATGCACAGGTCCCCTCCCAACCCAACCTTTCTTCTTTCACCCTGCTCCTCCCCAGGCAGGAGTGTCCAGCCCAAGCCAGATTTACAACATCCCCACCGGCTATCTGTGCCTCTTCAGGGCTGACCCTCGGCCTCAGACTTGCATTGTCCTTTCTCTGGGCCAGTGACTTGGATGTGGGCTTCCTTTACCCCTCTTCCTCTCTGTTTCTCCCCTGCCACTCCAGGAGCCTTGAGGCCAGGGGATGGTGTGTCCTCCCCTCTCCAGGCAGCCCAGTGTCTGACTCCCAGAGGTCCTCAGTGGATGAATAAAGGAATGATACCAGTTGAAGCTGTGAGGCCTGCATGGGCCACACTCATGACCCTGGGGACTTTTTACACGCCCCCTTATACCAAGGAAGAAACCAAGGCACCGAGTAAGCGGAGCTCCCTTAACCACAGGGCTGCCCCCCAGGATGCTGTGCCGTCTGGGTTCTCATGGGAGCTGCTCCTGCTGCTCTGGGCAGTGGGAGTTGGGGGAGGACTTGGAATCATTGGAAATCTCTATGGAGCAGGCGTGTAGCTCAGAGGGAAGAGAATGAGGGGCTTGTAACTGTCAAAGGTGTCGGGTCTGGGGGGGCTTTCTGGGCCCCGGATTTTTTGCTCTGTTCCGTATGTTGCTCTGCTTGTTTGTCTCCTGTCTGCCTGAGAAGGGGTGGGATGTGTTGGGGAGCAGAGGGATGTGCGTCACAGGGATGCCCATGTAGAACTTCACCAAGACCTGCACCTTGTCGCTTGCCTGACAGGGAGAAAGGAGGTGAGGTGAGCTTGGCCAGAGTGGGGGTTGTGGGATGGAGGACTGACCGCCTCGGCCTGAGGGGCATGCATCTTTTGCCTCCCAGGGGGACAAGAGGCCCCCACCCCAGAGCACCTGCTCCCTGCCTTCCTCACATGGGGCGCAGCTGCACACGTGGTGTCTTGGGTTGACTACAGGCACTAGCCGGGATCCTGATACCACCAGGGTGGGGCAGAGAATTGATTTTTTTTCTTTATTTTTATCTTTTTTCCTTTTGTCAATTCTTCCCCCAAAGCCTATCCCAAGTTTATCCACTTCCTTCCAGCTGGAACTCTGAGCCCTGCTGTGTCCCTCCTGGATCCCTGCAGCAATGTCCCCTCCTTGCTGTCTCTGCAAACCAGGCCCCAAGGCACCCAGTGAAGACTGAGCGCCAGCCTGTCCACCACCACTTGCCCAAAGCCCTTGGGTGGCCTCCTGTTGGCCCCCCATCTCTCCTCGTGGCCTGCAAGATCCTAAACCATCTGACCCCTGCTGGAGATCTCAACCTTGTCCCCAGA